CTTCTGTACAGGATGAAACTGAAAAGTACGATAAATATGACCTGAATCTTGATTCAAGGTCAGCCTTGGTTGTGAAACTTACCAAATCGACACCTTCTCGACTGAAATTCTCTGGGTCAAGCAAAGGCTTATCCAATCCCTCAGCCATTCTACAGATACATCATATAGTAAGAGATGTATATATATACATATATATGAAAGCAAATGCCGGTATTCCACCATTACTTAATCCATGTAAACTGTATCAATGAGGGAGAAAAAACATACACTTGGGGATCATGCTCAAATCGATCTTAAACAGTAAACTCATTGACACAAAGTTCACTGTTTTTTATGCTTTTATTTGATTAAAAACATATCAGTCTACAACTCTTAAGAAGCATCACCATATCCTTACGAACACTGGTACAATAAGAAGTGAACTAAGGCTTTACAAGTCTTAATTAATATACTTATTTAGTGCATAAATATCTTCCAAACTTGCATAAAAAGTAGTGAACTAAAGCTGCAACACACACACACACTTCCTTCTGCCATTTCTATATTTCCCCTGGCATGGATATTCAGAGATAAACCTTTCTGGGTTTGTGTCAAGTTTGACAGAGTAGAGCAAAAGCACAAAAGTACTTACTTGGAGGGAAAGTAAGAGAAGCCAGAAGAGAAGTAAAGCAGAAGAGCACCTCTCCTTGACCTCCTTCTCTTTTTCAGTGAAAGAGGTTAGAGGCAGAGTGTGGTATTGAGAATAGGAAGGTGAGGAAGCGAGAATGGCAAGAAGAAGGAGAAGATAACGAGGATGACGGGGGTGGGCCATGAATTAAAAAGGGGGTGCTATTGATTTGGTAGCTGAGACTGTTGGTTATCACCAGTCGCAAAAGAGAACGGATGATCGGTTTCTAATTACGTTGTTGATTGTCGAGTGCTGCATGTTTGGATGTTGGAGGCGCCACATTTCAGGCACGCTTAGATTTTTAGGTTGACGCCAAGGAAAGACCGTTCCGCTTAACTAACTTTCAAAACTCGAACCTTTTCAACGCACCAACCTAACGTTCTCTATTTTCACAATCCTACTCGTGCTTCCATTCATGTGCCTCCTCAGCCATTATATTTTATTTATTAAGTATCGTCTTAATATAAAATTTATTTTGTAATATAAATTACATTTTAAAATAAATTTTATATTTAGAACTGGGGGAAAGTATTAACTATGTTTCATTTTGATTCCATCAAAGTTTCAGCTTAATATATGTATTTTTCTTTTAAAAAAATTAATTAAAGAGATTTCAAAGTCAATAATAATCACACTAACTCCTCTCTTGTTTGGCTCAAAATTAATTTATCTATATTTGGATTAGCTTTTCAGAACTAATTTTACAGTGTTGGAAATAAGCACATGAGAAGAATTTTATCTTGAATTGCATGAAAAAAAATACCGTGTCATTAAATAATTTTTGGGGACACTTTGACTAGATGGGATTATTTTAGTAGGTTAGGTGTTTTATTTAAAAGAATATTTTTACATTTAAGGGGAGAACTCTCCGTATATTAATTCCTTGTAGGACAAAATTATTTAAAATTAGCCAATTGAAATGGGCACTAAGGGGAAAAAAAGAAGGTAAGTGGAGGAAAAGACAGGCAAATCCAAATACACCAATTGATCTCAAACGACTAATGTAAGTTCATTCATGTCAATCACCCATCTGTGTGAGTGAGATCTATCATTCCACCAGAAAGGGGGGGCCAAGCATTTACATGTTTGACTGTATGTGTAAAGCGCGCGGACGCACCCACTTTTCGTTGATTCGTTCGATTATGACACGTGGGAAAAAAAGTTGGATTTAAGTCTTATTTCTTTATTCACTTAAACTAATTTTAAAATAACACGGAATTGTTTTATGCAGAGAACATCAATCATCATCAATCAATAAGTTATATCTTTAAAAATATGTAATACCCTATTCATTTAAAAAATGGGGGTGCTATGATATTATGATATGTCAGTATATTTAATTAATCATATTTCAATTACATCTTAATTGAGATTTAAATATATTGAATTAAATGAGAGAACATTATAAATTAACTATCAACTATTATCATTGTTAACTATATTCTTAAAAATTTGTAATACTTAATTCATTTAAAAATAGATATAGTATGACATTATGATATCTAAATATATTTAATTAATGAGATTCAAATAACATTTTGATTGAAATTTGAATATATTAATTAAATGGAAAACATTATAAACAAATGGAATTTCAATCGCAGGGTCAAACGAAAAAATTAATAATTAATTTTGAATTTAAATAATATTTTAATTAGGATTTGTATATATTGAACTAAATGTGAAGCATCATAATTAAACAGTATATCAATTGGAGGTTTAAATGAAGAAATAATTAATTAACTTCAAATTTTTATTTATTTCTCCTAAATTTTGCGTTTCTAATTTAAATTCTATTTGAATGAATAAAAAAACCATACCCATATAAAAAGTAAATTTTGAGCTACCATAAATAATGTGATTTATTATAATTTTAAATCTAATCAAATATGTTAATTTGTGTAGAGTATGAGAGAGAAATTTCTAGTGTTCCTTCTAAATTTGTGTCCGGTCCTGAATTGGTGAGTTTGTGAATATTTTTTTTGTGGTTTTGTCTTGTGTTATATGACACGTGGGAAGTGCGGCAACACATACTTTCCTGTCACTTTTGCGCTTGAAATGAAATGAAGTTTGCCGTTCAACAAAACAGTGGGATTTAAGTCTTATTTCTTTATTCATTTAAACTAATTTTAAAACAACATTGAATTGTTTTATGTAGAGAACATTATCTTTTTAAATTTGTGTCTGGTCCTAGATTGATAACTTTGTGGATATTTTTTTTGTGGTTTTGTCTTGTGTTATTCTACCAAATCATACATGAAAAGCATCTAGTGAGGTATAACTGTAGATAAATTATGGCTTATTTGCTTGACTACAATATTTTGTAATTTTATTTTTTTGGATGTGAATAACAAGTTTTATCATTTTTCAAATGTACTATTTTTAGAATAGTTATCTAAGTAGATTTTTTTTGTGTTTTTATTTCCAAAACTTGTCCAAAATTGGAAAAAAAAAAAAAAAATCAAATATCTTTCTATCTTTCATCATTTGCACTTCAAAAGAGATTAGTCTCTACAGTTAACAATGAATACTGTCTCACCAAATAACAATTTTTGAAAATTGTCCTAACTTTTAATATTTAAATCATAATATTAAAATATGCCCATAAGTATTGAGAGTCTATGTTCCAGACAACTGAATTAAAAATGGGAAAAATAGTGCGGTCCTCAGTGCAAGCTGAGACAAGAAAGTGAGAGGAACTTGCCCAGATGCCCTCCGTGGTGGTCTATATAAATGCCGCATGCAAGACTTGAGATAGGCTTCTATGCTAATACTTTCAGAATCGGATGCTATGTGGCCCAACAGAGGAGTAAGGGAGAGAGACTGCGGCTCTTTTGCTATCAATGTAGAAATGTCTTATTACTGTCTCTTGTTTTAATTATAAGATTTTATTTATAGTTTATAAATAAGATATTTTTTGATCTTTAATATAAAACTTATTAAACTAATTTGATTAGATTAAGAAAGTTAGGTAAGTTAGTTAATTATAAGAAACGTGACACGTTTTTTTTAAATATACCATCATCTTTTTTAATACCCCATTATTCTTTTACTTGATTATAGTTGAAGGAGTATCCATAAGGGTAATTTAGAGAAAACTGATAAATATGAAAAATAAATTTTATATTCAGGACTAAAACCAACTCAACAATTAAGTCTTATATTAAGGACCGAAAGAGTATTATAAATAAGACCGGAGGTAGTATATTAAGTCGAGGTAAAACTCCCCTCAACTATTTATAACAAATTCTAAATCAACTCTATTTTTATAGCGAGGAGGATACTGTGTGACCGTAAGTCAAAAGCAGAGAACAATATCCTTCGAGGTAGTTAAGCGAAATGCAAGAAAGAGAGAGACTCCTTGCTAAATTTGCATATTATAGGAAATATGGTTTACACCCAAGAAAAGATGACTTCTGCATTAAAAAAAAAGTAAAAAAAAATTCAATTGTGTAAAAGAGATATGCTGCACATGAAAAAATAATTGCATACAAAAAATATTATATTGTACTACCTCCGGTCCTAATTATAAGAGCCAGTTGACTAATTTGAGGAGATTAAGAAAGTAAGTTGAGTTAGTTATTTGTTATAAATAGGTGTTGTCTTTCCTAAAATATCCTTACTAATCAAATGTATTGACTATAACTATTATTGTTAGAAGGGCTACTTTTAAAAAAATATATAAATATGAGAGACAAAGTGGATTGAGGTCTTATATTTAGAACTAAAATAAAAGTCAAACAGAGTCTTATATTAAGGACCTACAAAGTTTTTGAGACTATTTGTCAATTAAATTTTAAATCAATATTTTTCTCCAATTTTCTTATTTTAAAACCGCTCAAAAAAATTCTAAATAAATACAATTCCTCTTATTTTAAATATAAAATTTATTTTATAGGATAATTTATATCATAAAATAGATTCTAAGACTGAGCCAAAATCCTAAAATCTAAAAATTTGCCCAAGACATGAGTACAAAAGTTGGTAAATGACCTTACTGCCCCTATTCCTTCCGATCCTCTGAGTGTGAACGCGACACTCCTTCCTCACTCCCTCGCGCCATCGTCTTCCCCAACCCTAACTCGCCACGGTTGCCTCACTCCCCCATCGTGCTACGCCATTGCTCTCACCCTCTCTCACAACAATGCACGCTCTACTCGTCGCAAGTTCGTCGGTACTGATGTATTAAGTGGCAGGTCAACTATTGTTTCTTATTTTCTGGATTGAGTTTCTGTTCTCGACCGTTGATTGACCTCAATCTGGTGCCTTGAGGTAATGGGCTGTTAGAATGATGTTTTCTTGTTGAGGTTTTCACGTCCAAAAACGATGAGTCAAAAGAACACTTGTATGTATTACTAGTTTTCCTGCATTTATCTATTTCATCCTTTTCACCATATGAAGTCAATGGACTCGATAAATAGATTGTAAAAGGCGAGAACATTTCTTTGGACACTCAGGATTTTCTTTAGAAGATCATTCAGGTTATATTATTTTCTCTATTAATGTTGGTAGAATACTTGAGTTCATGTTCGAGTTCAAATTAATAATCTCTCAATTTCGTGAGCTGGTCTGGTGAGTCAAGTTAATTATATCCCTAATTAACCGGAGGTGGATAAATGACAATAATTTATACTGGCGTATCACTGTCAGATAGCTGATAGTTGCTTAGATACGAAATGTAATTACTTGTTATTGACTATTAATTTAGTCATTTTCCGGTAAAGCCCAATTGATTGATAATCTGATTCTGTACCCTGAACTGGTACAACTGTAACTGCTGTTGGTTTGTGTGATCTGCTCATTAGAAGTAGCATTCGCTGCTTGTGGTAATTATGGTTTTATTCTGAAGAAACTTGATTAGTGTAGTAATTCACACTAAGTTCACATGTCAGTGTAATTATTCTGGACCAGATGCTTGATTGGAGGGATTAGCAGTGGCTGTATCCATGCTTTGCAGTTTGTGTAGCGCCATATAAGGCTGCGGGGGTTATAATTGTTTTATCTCACACAAGAGGTAGGCGGTATGACTTTTAATCTTTAAGGATAATCTCTGTATTGGTCTCCTCGTATCCGGTTAATCTTCAGTTTCGGTTATTCTAAAATTTACATTGTTAACAATGGACTTTTTACACCAAAAGATGAACATAAATGTACAATGAATGTTATGACGCTCTTGATAACTGACGAAATCTTCTGGCCCTGCTCTTCTGTGCCGTGGACGCATCTTGATTTAATACAGTTACTCCAATGTACTATTGTTTATTGTAGGTTTCTAGATCGACTTTATTTTTCTTTGAACTTCTCAGATGGATTATAATTTTATCTTGATTTAAAGGATTAATATTTCTGTATTATCAGAAATATTTTATGAAGGTCTATTTACTTTTGCTTCAAGAATGGGAGTTGAGAAAGAAGGAACAAAAAGTGGAGGAGGGCAAGTTGGCGGGTTTTTCCAGTTGTTTGACTGGACCTCAAAATCTCGGAAGAAATTGTTTGCTTCTAAGTCAGATGTGCCAGGTACACATGCTGTCTGTCTTGACTAAATGATAATGTGTTTATGGATATTGCCTTGTGCATCCTTTCTATGAAGGTTTAATGGCATTAATGATTACGGGTTTTGATTTTGATTTCTTTCTTTTTTTCTTTTTTTTTCTTTTCAGCATTTGAAGAATCTTTGAAGCAGGCGAAAAATGTTGATGACAGCTTGGCAATGACTTGGCCCTATGTGGGGGTAATATCACAATCACTTGCTCTCTAAAATACTGTTTCTGGTCATGAAATTCAGGTAGTCACTTCAAAAATTTCAGGTGAATGAAGATGAAATTGGAGCTGGGGCAAGTGTTAGAGGAAGTGATCATAGTTGTGCTTCATCAGTTACAGATGATGAAGCATGTGGAACAAGGGTGCCAGGCGTGGTTGCTCGGCTTATGGGATTAGATTCTCTGCCCCCTCCTAGTTTTCCCGAGCCCTCTTCTTCTCCATATTTTGATACCCGATCTCTTCAAGATGCTCCATATTGTAGGAAAAACCTGACCTATCAGCATGATCAGGCCATTTATTCTGGAAATTTGTTTGAAAAAGTTGAGGGCTCTTCTAGGAACTTCATGGAGCCAAAGCCCCAAAAGATCCTTAGCAGGCCAATTGAGAAGTTCCGAACTGAAGTATTGCCACCTAAGTCAGCTAAATCAATTCCTGTCACACGCCATAAGCTTTTGTCTCCTATCAAGAGTCCTGGCTTTGTTCCAGGCAACAATCCTGCTTATATAATGGAAGCTGTTGCAAGGATTGTTGAACCTGGGCCCCAAGCTACTGCAAAGCATAAAACTCCATCCATGGCTTCATCTTCTCTATCATTGAAGGTTCGAAGTCTTAAAGAAAAAGACCAGCCTTCAAAAAAAACACCTCTTTCTGGTTTGTCTACCATAACATCTAGAGCCAGAGATTTGAAAGAACACAGAGAGGTTTCTCAAAGAAAAATTAGGCTTTCTGAACCTTCTCAAAAGAATTGGAATGGCAGTAGAGGTTTGACGGGCCAGAAAGAACATCATGAGCCAAAACCCAACCCACCATTGAAGACTAATGCTCAAAAGAGTATGCAGAAAAAATCTTCTGTGCAAGGTACTACTGGTGTTCTCCGGAAAAACAATGAAAAACAGAATTGTTCAGTTGATAAGGGCAAGTTACCATCAAAGCCTTTGGCTTCCAGTGATAGGAAAGTTCTGTCAGGGAACTCCTCCTATGGGCGTCAAAGAAGTTCTAGTAGTAGATCTACTGGGAAATCCAAAAGTAGTACCAGGAAGTCAAGGTTGGGGGCAGTTGATTGTGAAAATGAAGTTTTATATGCCAGTACAAACAATTTCCCTAGAAAGAAAAGATCAACAGACAAGGACTGGAATGATCAGGCTGTTGATATTTTGTTCATTGACAAAACAAAGAAGCCTATTGAGTGTAATCTAGAAGGTAAGGACAGTTTTAGTTGGGTAGGAGATGTCAAAAGGAAAGACATGGATGTAGTTTCGTTTACGTTCACCACACCATTGACAAGAAATAACAATGGCTTTGATGCATCTGGCCAAGTTCGTCAGAAGGGTAATGATTGTTCCTTGGATCACCACACTAAACAAGAATTGGTTGAGCCAGAGAAAGCAACAACTCCAGTAGGATGCAATGTAATATCTGGTGATGCCTTGAGTATTCTTTTAGAACAGAAACTGAGGGAATTTATGTATGGAGTCGATCCTTCATGTAATAGCTCTGATAAAGCCAGGACATCTTCTAGTATTGCATCAAACTCAGTAGATCCGACATCTTCCCCTAGTTTAGTTAACCACCTCCAGAGGTTGCAACAAAAGGACCAAGACGTGCTATCTACAGATGCATTATGCACCAGGCACTATTCTGATATCTCCCCCACTAGTCTCCCTGAATTAACATCAAAATACAAGTCATTGGTATGTGAAAAAATTATAATTCTCATTTAGAATTGTTTAGAATGCTAGTTTTATTTATTCTGTTTTGTGAATGACAACTCACAGGGTTAAAAGAGAAAAGAAAGAAAAATTTAGACTTGATTTGCTTTGATGTGACAATAGGCTTAAAAGAATAAAAGATGTGACTGGCTAATTACTACTCTTTTGGCCTGTTCCGAGAAACAAGAGTCATAAACCTATTCATTCAACAAGCTTGAGTTGATAGAGGAGGAGGAACTTAGAGACACCTTTTTGGTGTTTCATAATTGTCCAATAAAAATTTGACAAATGGAGGAACCATTCGCTAAGGAGTCAATACTGTGTGCCCATTTGTAAAAATTGTCCACGTTATAATTGTACTATAGAGTATAGAATTTAATAGTAGACGCTTTAAAGGAATTTATTTCTGTGCTCAGGAAAAAGCCGATAAATTATTGTTCTTATCACCTCTGACATACCCCCTTCAAGCCCGTATCAAGAATGAATACATTCCAAAAGCTTAAGGGGCGATCAATATCTAAGCATATGGATAGTCTTGTCTTCTGTTTTGCAAGTAGTGAGGGTGCCTGAAACATTTAGTAGTAATTCATGTATGAAAAATTTGAATCATTTAGAGGGGCACTGAAGTTTGCAGTGTTACAAAATTTAGTCTTCCATATGCATGCCCATTTCATCATAACAAACGTGAAAATATTACAGGTTGCTGATGGGATGAAGGAGTTTGGGTTCAATCAGATGAAATCACAGCTATTGAACTGTCGACACTCGAGCCCAATAGCTGTCCTTGAACCTTCTTGCTCAACTGAAAGTTGTGAATCTCTAGTCAGCACAAATGCTGCTAATAGCACAGGAGGTAAAAGCAGCATCTTTGCACATATCCACACGCACACTCATTTATGAGGATTGGACTGTCAATCATCTTTATTAAATCTAGCTATGACATGCCTAATCGGTACCTAATGTTTGCTATATCCAATTTCAGAAAGCAAGTTGTGCTCTTTTGTGCAAGATCAGGAAGTCTTTGGCCTGAACACTTCGCGTAAATCTTATCATGCGGAAGCTGATACTGAGCTATCAGATTCAGCTTCTTCAACATCGACTGGAAGATCAAGTACATGGGAACTGGACTATGTGAAAGAAATATTGTGTTTGTGTAATGTGGAACTGATGTTTATGGACTTTGTCCTTGGTCAAGCACGAGAGATTGTGCGCCCCCATCTATTCAGTCAGCTGGAAAGTATGAAAGAAGGGTTTGAGAATGTTGGTAGTGAGTCTAGGTCCTCTAGGATACACAGGAAAGTTATATTTGATTGTGTGAGTGAATGCATGGACATAAGATGTAGGCGTTATGCAAGGGGGGGTTACAAAATGTGGGCCAAAGGGGTTATGATGGTGAGAAAGAATGAACGGTTGGCAGATGAAGTGTACGAGGAGATTTGTAGGTGGGGAGCCATGGGGGATTCTATGGTCGACGAACTTGTGGATAAGGACATGAGCGGCCAACATGGAGGATGGCTAGATTTTAATGTTGATGCTACTGAACTAGGAGCAGAGGTTGAGGATCAAATGCTTGATTCTTTGGTCAATGATTTTGTTGCTGAAATCTGGCAGTATCAACAGCCAAATGCTGCTACAATGGTGGGCTGAGGGGTTTCGATTGTGAGAAAGGATGAATAATTGCCATATGAAGCGTCCAAGGAGATTTCTTGTTGGCTCAACGCCGGATGACTCGCGGATGATGAACATGAGTAGCCAAGTCATTTATATCTGTTGCTTAACCACTCTTCACTCTCTCTCTCTCTCTCTCTCTATATAGATATATATATTCCTTCTTGAATCTAATTTACATAAGAGCTAACAATACATGTTGGTCAAATACTGATTAGTAATTGTTGCATAAAAAAAATTAATTGCTGCATGCTGAATGTTGTATTCAATAATCATTTAGTAGTTCTTTCACCTTACTTTAACAGGCTAGGTGTACAACGTTCTCGAAATTTCCTTGCTTGTTACAGAGCTAGAATAATAGAAATGAATAAATACAAGAAGATAAAGAAGCAAGTACAATTAAAAAAAAAGGTGCAACACTCTCGAAAAGAGAGAGAGAAAAGAGAGGAGGAAAAATTCCCGTATGTGGAAAAGTTCTAAATAAATACCATCAAAATTCCAACATCTCTGGCCAGTGACTTGGGTTTGCCTGATGCCCTGATTCTTTTCTCCATGGTCTTCTCTTTTTCGGAATCAGTTCTAGTGTTGGTCCTTTTGTGCTTGTAATGAGATTTACACCATCCAAATATAATTTTAACGGATTAAATTTAAAACTTTTAATTGATAATCTTTAAATTAAAAAAATGTTTTTGAAAAAAATTATCAACTAAGATATTGTTATTTTCAATTTTATATCTATTAAAATAGAAAACATTTAAAAAAAGTACAAATAAATTAAATCTCAATCATTCATATTAAATTTAAGGGAGAATTAGAGAGAACGACTTGAAAAAAAAATATTTGTTGGAGAGAACTTTAAAAATTACAATTATTTAAGGGGATCATATACTAAATATAAATTCAAAAATACTGAATTGCCCTTGAGCCCCCGCGTCTCCTCCAACAAGCTGACAAAGAGCTCTTAACCTAACTTACAAGCAAACTAACTTATTAGTGATTCTAATATTTCAAAACAAATAATAAATAATTGCACAAGTGCGGTGGATCCAAGAGTAGTTTTAGTACGCCGGCTGAATCATAAGTCATAATGGATGGTGTTAATAAGTTTTTGCCATAGTCCTTCTGGGAATTTCTGTAGGAAAAATTAATTAATGGTTTGCGTGTAGACCTATAGAAATTTATAATTACAATAGTTTATAATTTGACTAGAATTAGGGAAAGGGTTGATGTTGGTGTAATATTTTATCAGCAAGTATGTCTTTCTAGCGAATTCAGAATCTTCGTCTTCAATCATTAGATACTTTGATTACAACTATGAGAATGGAAGGTATAAAATCATCAAGAGGGCGGATAGAATCATCTTTCTTGATGTCGTGGAGACTGTGATCCCCTCCAAAGCTAACCTGATGTTGGAATGGGAATGCAAAGTTGAAGCAATTAAAGCAAAATATCAAATCCAATCATCAAGGAAATCCAAGCCACCCTTGACTAGATCCAACATCCTCTGCACACTTGTTAATCTCATCACCATTTTCATTTTCATCTTCATCATGCCTTAATTAAGAAATTTTAGACACATGAAAATAGAAGATGAAGCAACTTTTAACGACAGAGAAAATGGCTGTCTCTACGTATCCACTATTTCATGAGTGGGAACAATGAAGCAATAACGTGAAAAGATCACGAGACAAAATGGAGCACGAGAATATTTGGGTCATTTTGGTTTTATTTCTTTTCCTTCATGTCCTCGAAGATAAATAACACTTTAAAAGGCTTTTAGATTAAAAATGTGTTTGATAATCCTTAAAAAGTGTTTGTAAAAAATACTTTTGTACGAAACAAAATAAACTCTTTCACATATTTACTTTATTAATTGTAAAAGTATTTTTAAAATTATGGTTTGATTTCCATCTAAATATCCCCTAAATATCTCTCCGGTCCTTCAGGCTAATTGTCCCTCAATTTAAATGATCTAAATTTTACGAGTGACTAAATCCAGTACCCTCACTCTCTCTTCTCTTGCCGCCTTTCATTTTTTTGGGTTTTGATCCTTTCATAATTCTTTTTTTTTTTTTTTCAGAATCTCATCTCTACCAAATAATAGATCGTTCAGATTTAATATTTTAAAACGTTGATGTTAATTTTCTCTCTCATATTTATGTAATATTATAATAATAATTTTATAAGGTATAAAATCTGAATTATTAATTATTACATCAAAGGAGAAAGAAGGATTTCTAAACCCCGTTCGTTCACGTTCTCACAGTGTGGCGGCGGCACTCCTACCTCACTCGCTTCACGGCGTCTTTCCGAACCCCAACACGCCATGCTTGCTTCACTCTCCCAACGTGCTCCGCCATTTCTCTCACTCTCTCTCGCAACAATTCATGCTCCTTGTCGCAAGTTCATCGTTGCAGGTTCTGGCCACCGCCTTATTCTAAGCTGCCACGTCTTCATTGCTCTCTGCCCTATTTTCTGTCTCTAGTTCTTGAGCAAGTTTGGCGACCATTTTCCAGGACAAACCTTCACAACTTTCTCTGCTTCGCTGCTTCTGATTCTGCGGCAGAATTCGAAACTGTCTCCCGCAAAAACCCACTGGAGTTAGGCGCGATTGGTCGGTGCATGATAGGATTTTGTAAGAGAGAGAAATGGAGAAACTGGAGGAGAAAAACGAAGGAAGGCAAAGAGAGGAGGGAGATGGAGAACGGAGGCAAGATATTAAATATAACTGTAAGATCCCAGTTTATTTTGTGTATTCATTTTTTTAAATAATTCTTACAGCAGTTATACATATTAAATATTTCGCTAAATGATAGTTCTAATCAATATGAATGATCAATAACAGTATTCTGCAAAAAAATAATACTCTTCTAGTCCTAAATATAAAATCTTTATACACACTTGTATAAGAGTCTTATATTTAAGATCAGAAGAGTACTTATTTATTATAAACAACTAACTTAACTAATTTTTTTTAATCTACTCAAATTAGTTAATTAATTTTTAATTCTTATATATTTTCTCTTAGTTATAATATATACATCTTCTTTGTATCTTGACCCCTGCACTGTAAATTCACTATCCGGTTGGTTTTATATTCCCAATATCTGTAGGTGAATACAAAGATAAGCCCATTTTATATTTAGAGAGGTAAAAACGTACAGCCGATGCTTTGATGGGGGCAAAACATCTTTCAACAATTGTTATTGTGCATGCATGGAAGTCAACAGGATTACCAATTTGATCTCTCGTTCTTCTACTGTAATGGAAGCCGTTCGGAGTGTTGGAGTATGCGCTAGCTTCGCAATATGTGCATTGAAGTACACTTATCCCTGTACTGTTAACATATGGAAGGCATCAAACTTCATGTTGCTTGAGATCTACTGATCGCCCACAAGATTGTAAAAGCTGTAATAACTAAAAACCGAGGCAGCTTGTGACCCACTCCGCCAAATATATTGTATGAAATCGATCCTTCTTATGCAAGAAAGGCATGTTAGTCCTCATCTTCTTCTTCCAGCTTTTTTTTTTTTTTTTTTTCCTTTTGTTTGTTTTCACCCAAGGAAAATGTAGTCAACGCACGTAAGGGAAAGCGATAAACCCCCCCCCCAAAAAAACCCACCTAAAAAACCCACAAAAAAACACCAAAAATAGAATAAATCTTCCTCTTAGCTTAAAGCGTAACAATAAAGCTCAAAGTCTTAAAATTAATTGAGATTTTATATTTAGAATTAAAAGAAACTCTCTAACTAACCCCTATCAACTCACTGATACTTTACTGATATATTTTAGAAAAGATTGTGTCCCCTGTTTGATAATGATTGATGATACCTCTAATTTGAATTCAAAAATATTCACATTAATATAACGCCTTCTTGGTTTATGGGAATCATAGTATCTTCCAATAACTCGGACCAACTCTAATAGGATGGAAAGCAACTAATAAGCTCCACAGGAATTTCATGCAATAGATGAGGTCCGATTAGTTATATTTTGTGTCAAATACTTTGTATAACTACTTACATTGAAAGGCTTTAGCAGTATTCTGTAGTGTGAAAATAAAAGGGCTCCTTTTGTAACAAATATGGATGATAATAGAATCTCTCAAATATCTCTCATGTAAATAATACAAATTTACAACTACGTTACTACAAACATAAGCAGCTTATGTACAGCTAGTGGTGAGCATATATTAGATGTGTTTGTACAAGTATGCATGTAACAGCAGGACTATGCAGATCTTTTAGATCAAGATTATATTACCTTTGAGATTTCCATTCGATTTGGCCTGAAAATAATGCCAAGTTAGGAAAAAGATCATCTAGATTCAGGCCATATATAACAAAAATATCCATATAGGCGGAAACTATCTCCTAAAAGATTCTACTCAATATTATGCTTAGATCCCAAACTTCTGGTAGTCATTAAAAGTTGGAAGCCAAGCTTCAAACCTCCATATTAATACTCAAGAATATCACTTAGTTAGTTATCACTACATCTCCATCACTCTCTAGGGAATAAAATTTTCAAGCAGACATCATAAATAAACAAGGAAATATAAAGATTGATTCTCACTTCAAAGTATGAATTTAGATCTGTTTCATTTTTTTAGTGCCAACATGAGTTATTATATTAGAGAGAAGAGACAGAAAGTATGCATCCAAACCCAATCACCCGATTATGTTTTTCTCTCACATAATGACTCATGTTTACATTAGAAAACTGAGGAAATTCAAATTCTCAGAGTGTGCCTTTCATTCAAATACGTCTTTTTTCTTATCGAATAATTAAGTTTTGATGAAATCGATCTAATTAAAATAATAGATCTCATGATCTACAAACACTAAATAATAATAATAAATATTACATAAGAGTTATAGCCAATATCTTTCAAGCCTAATTAGCTAACCACAGATATTTTCTTGGATAACCCTGATTTATGTGTCGCTCACCCAAAGAACACAAAAAGATTTAGTACCGAAGTTCTTAATCCTCCTAGTCCTTTTTCTTGTAAAAAAACTACATACCAAAATATGAAAGAGAATATCATTGCTAAAAAAAATGAAAGAGAATATCGTATACTATCATGAAATAAACAAGTCCAGATCAACGTATTCCATCCACCAATCTAATCCAGCCTCAGAAGGATACTGATTTTAGAGTATCTTCAGAATAAGCATAATCATCAGTAGTTCCTAATATATGTATATAGGCATTATAATCTAGGGCATATCTTGAGTTATCAAACTGTCATTAACAGAAAATAAATTTATCAGCAAACAAGTTACCAC